GCCTCCCTCGTGAAGGTGCTGGAGCCCCCGGGACCCCGCGGGGACGGTGACACCAGGCCTGGCCGCTCCTTGTGCCCACGACAGCCGGGAGCCGGCTCTGTTGCCCCACAACTGCTTTCAGCACTGGCGGCTTTAAGCCTTTCCCAAATTGCCGGGTTTCCAGGTTTTCAGCCCCAAGCGTGCCGAGAGAGCAGGGGAGCACAAATCCCGAGTGGTCGTGGGAGCTCGGCACCACAGATGCAACACGGTGCTGGGGCCCTGCTGGTCCCTGCTGTCACCCCAGGGAGGGCCGGGGATGCAAGCCCAGCTGTGCGGGGGGTGAGGGGTGCCGGAGGGATACGGCCGGGGTAGGACCCCTGCCCTCACCAGGTCCCTTCACAGGGACCCCACAGCCAATACCTTGAGCTTGGGGGGTTCAACTTTAGTGATGATAACCCCTTTTTTCACTGGAGGAGCCTTGAAGTCACCTGGCCCAGAGGCTGCAGGATGCAACGGCAAACATGGACCCAGGTCCCCAGCACCTCTGGGAGGGGGTGGACCAGCCCAGCCCCAGGTGCCAGCCCTGCACCCACAACTTCCTGTATGCTGCCGGGTCCCGGCCATGCACGGCCGCACGGCTGATAACCTGCGGCACCGGTGGGCCTGCTGCCAAGGAGGAACAAGGAAGCGAGCAAGACTCTCGCTTCGCTCCCGCTGCCTCGGGGTCCCTGCGTCGCTTAACCCTTCCCATCTCTGGGGGCTCCTGCGAGGGCGTCTGGGTCTGAGCCGTGCAGAGACCTTGCGGTGCTCAGCTCTGCCTCGGCAGCGTTTCCCGGAGCGGGAGGATTGGCTGAAGCGCTGCAGAAGTCATTGCATTAACAGCTGATCACCTTAATGGAGCCATTACTGCAGGGGGTTATCTGTGCCATCGGAGTGCGTCCCATTGCAAACGCCCACGCAAATCCAGGGCGGGTTGTGGCGGCGGCGGTGGTGGTGGTGGGGCAGTGCTCTTATACCAGCATTTTGGGGCTGGGCCTTTCTCTGCTTTTCAGGTCACCTTAAAAAGGAAAAAGATAGAGAGACTTACCCTGGTGTGCAAAGGCCCTCTTGGGCCTGGCGGGAACAATTCCAGCAAGCAAAGGTTTGCTTCTTCAGCTCCAGGATTATTTTAAGCAGGGGGAAAAGTCAATTAAAGCATTGCATCTTCCTTGCTTCACCTACAACCATCCAGCCTGGCAGCCACGTGGCAGAGGTGACTGTCATGACAGCTGCACTATGGATAGGGAAACTGAGGCAGGGAGAACGGAGGTGTCCCTGGAGAGCCCAGATGCCCTGCCAGGCTCCAAGCACAGCCAACCCCATGGCAGCACCACCAAACCTCCCCATCCCCATGCTCAGAAAGGACTTATCGCCCTCCCTGGGGAGGTGGGCTTGGAGATGAGAGCTGCACAGCACTCTAGGTGTGCATGGCTCGCGGGTGATGTGGCCACGAGCAGCTGGCGCTGGATCTGGGGCACCATCTGCTGCGGGGAGGGACACATCGCCGGGACCGGGCTGCCCTGCTCACCAGGTGACTCACCACATGAACGTGCCAGAGCCCCCCCCACAGCAGCCTCAGCTCCAAAGCTTTGGCCTCTGCATGCGCCCGGGGCTTAGCGATGGCTGGAGACAGGGCAGCCCAGGGCGAAACCCGGGGTGCTTTCGTTGATGCCGAACGTTTTGCTGTCCCAGCAACACCGGTGTGCCCAAGCCCAGCAGTTCAGCGGTGGATCTCATGGTGCTACACGGCTGTGACTATAACCCAGCCCCAGTCGACATCCCCGACCTGTCTGGGATCGCTCCCAGGCAATGCCAGCTTTTGCTTGGCATCCTGAGATAGGCCAGGCCCTCGTGGAGACCATACAAGCCCTGCAGGCTTTCCGCAGCATGCACAGGCTTGGGTATCAAGCTCCTTTCTCACCTGCACAGAAGCCATCTTCATGGTGACTCTGAAAGGCAGCACCTCGGGGAGCTGGACCACAGACCGGGCCCTTGGCTCGGCACGGTGCAGGGGGTT